CCCCCCCCCCGCCCTCTCTCCCTGCATCTTTCCCTCTCCCCCATCCCCCGTCTCATCACTCCTCCCCGCCAGCTGAACTACTCGATGGCGAACGAACCCGTGCCCCTGACGCCGGAACACCGGCACATCCTGGGGTGGTCGGCGGCGACGGACCGGCTCATAGAAAGCGCCAAGGTTACGGTCAGGGAATCGCTACGTCGACGGCGAGAGCTAGACGAGGTAGGGGTGGCGATGGGGCAGGGCACTGTTTTTTTCTCAAGAAAATGTGCTGGGAAAAATGTGTCCGTTGTACAAGGAGGAACGGGAAAAGCACATGACTAAGCTGGGAAGGGTAGAAGGAGGATGCAGGGGGGTTTCTGAGGCATGGGATGTAGCCAGGAGAAGACGGTAGCCGTGCTGGGGCATAGGAAGTGGGTTGAAGAGGCGGGAAGTGATATCGATCGGATAGATAGATTAGGGACGACTTTTTGGATCCACTTTTTGGTAAGAGCAGGAAGGAACGATTGGCCGTCGATGATCGGTCCTATGTGAACAATTCTCCGTCGTCGCGAGGACGCGTGGTCAACGATCTAACCGCTAAGGTATTCTAACCATGAGTACGCCCTTACCCGCACCTCCCGTTCTGATACGACAGGCGGCGTGGCTATTCCACTACTACCTCGGGTCCGGGAGGAGAGGGGACCGCGTCCGCAAGATCATGGCAGGCGGGGTCGTTGCCGGGCAGCACGCACACATGGAGCTGGTTCTTAAGGCCGAGAACGAGGCGTTGGAGCTAGCCAAGGTGGCGGCTGGGGCGGAAGGGGGAGGGCACGAGGTGTGTTGGGGAGGGAGAGTGATAGTCACGCGTTTAGCGTGGCCTGGACGACCTCCGAATGAGAGCGTGACGTGTCTGCGCCTCTCATTTCCGCCCGTGTTGGTGATACGTGGGCGGGGTGAGCTGATTGGTGGACGTTGGTTTCGTGGACCGGTCTTGCGGTGCTTGTGGTTTGTGTGCGGTCGATGCCGATGTTAGCGGGAAGGGAGGAAGCAGCACGCCCGTACATGAAAGCGTGCGGTTTTGTAGGTAGATATCAAGGCGATATGAATCGCTGTCCACTCTTTTGTGATTACAGAGCGAATTTTGTGTGCGCCCGGAGCCGGCTCATATTTTAGGTATTTTCCCCGCAAACAAAAACAGCAAGACTCCGAAGTAACAACATGTAAAACTGTATCCAGCGAGGCGAAACGGCAAAAACTGAAAGAAAATCCACAAGACCGAAAGTGAAGAAATATGTACACTTGAATATGCATCCCACTATGCAAAGAAGTGCAAAGGAAGGAGTTGAAATTCGGTCGGGTTGCGTAGGATAGCACGCTCTTGCCCTTTGGCAATAGGAGTACCCTTGTCACACGAGTGCGCCGTTTCGTTTTTAGCGTATTTGCGTCCCCGAATGGCTTGGAAGATGCGTATGACAGATGTCGTTTTTGTCTTACGCATGAAGATTGTAGGCATTTCCCCCCTGCAGTCCCCCTCGTCCGCGTCCTTCGTCAGCTCTTTGTCCTGGGCATCGCTTTCTCCCGTGCATAACCTTCGTAACAGAGTTGGCCACTGGCATCAGCCCACCGCTCCCCCCCCACACCCAATGTGTGTTTGCTTGTTGTGGCAGGCGGCGCAGACTGGAGCGTGAAATGCATTACCCCCGTGACCCACGCTCCCCCCCCCAGCCGGAAACGCAACAGACGAGCTGGTTTAACCGGACATCTGAATCGCGAGATTGAAGATACAGACGTAGACACCGGCACCACTTGTGAAAGACGGACCTGTTCCAGGACGGCGGGCCCGCCGGCTGACTTGCCTTGTTGCATAGACTTTTTTTTTTTTTCCAACAAGAAGGGGGTGTTGCGGTGGGAGGGCCAGATTGGAGCTGAGGAGCATGAATTGTATTTGCTGGACAGCCTGAATGATACTCTGAATCTTTGAATGGAAACACGGCTGTGACTTTGCGCGTCCATGGGATGACGGAAAGTATAGTATAACCACCGCGTTGGTGTAGTAGAATTAATGGATTCGGCGTCTGGTTTATGCCTCGGGTACAGCGAAGGACCAACCTGATTTTTTTTCTGTGTGATCGTTTAGAAGAGCATGATGTGGGCGTTGACAAGCCGCGGGGCGAATGGCGCGCGGCGATTGGCGTTCGATTTTGACAGTGTTTGTGTGGCTCAGGCGACGGTGGATTTGTTTCTGGTAGAGTTGAGATAGCGGGTGAAGCTGACCGGCGCAGCCCTGCTTCAAGGCGGGAACGTGAAGCTGTTCCATCCCCGAGTGCGCGGAAAATTTGTGTCGCGGCGTGCCGCTCGTGCGATACAACGAGTGAACGTGCTACCGTTGTGTGCTAGGGATGACTTGTGCATCAGCTTGATTCAAGTTTGCGCTACGCACTTTTGCCGGTATCTCAACAAGAAGACTCGTGTCACAGGAGGCCTTTCATCAACTCCAGTGCATTTTGTGGCTTTGTGCTTGTTTTGTGCAGCCTTTCCTGACCCGTGAAATAGACATGCACCTGGCTGCAATACGTCTACAGGCACTCTTGCGCAAGGGATTGAGTCGAGGTGCGTGTACCCTATGCACAGAAGGGCACCTCTTTGTAGAGGCTGCGGGACAGATGTTTGGTTCTATTCGCCGTCTTTTACGCGTACATTCGTCTAGAAACAGGCCTAATCGTACAACGTGCGCCAAGACTTCGAAGATCGTCTTCCAACCAAATTATATGGGTGGTAGACAACTCCACCTTAACGCTTGCACCCCTTTTGCGACGTCACGACTGCAAGATGGCGCCTGCAGTAGTGTTGGCTGCCTCATGGATCATCATAAAGCGTTTGATATTGAGGGTAAAGAGAGGTATGTTCGGAAGGAATTCGTTGTAGTATTTTCATGGCCACAGCGCCAACGTAAGAGCTCAGCACCATTCAGCTACGTATTTACTGCGTACTTATCGTCGTTGTCACTCATGTGGCCACGACAACCACGAGATCACTAGGCCGCCATGTCCCTTTCACATATATACATCCCTCAGTGCGTTTGCCCGATCGAGTTGTATGTGTACCGTACACACACACGTCGTGCTGCCAACAATGGCTGCGAGCACCTCTTCGTCACGAAGAACTCGATGTTGTCACATCCAGGCTCCACTCGCAGTCACACCCGTGATGCACCAAAACGTTCTCTCTGCGGTAAACCAACATTGTTCAAACGTTCCAGACTGCCAGTCCAACACGCTGCACAATATGCTATCGAACCGTCCACCAGCATTCGAGTGAAAACATGTTTCAGAGTCGCGGCGGCAGCAGTAGCAGCAGCGGCAGCAGCAGGCGGTTCATTGTCACGCACACGAAACAAGCCGTGGTTGACAATCTACCTACAGGAATCGGGTCCTTTCCGCCCCCCACACCAGCAAGTGAATTAATACAGCACAGCAGCAGTCCACAGTGAGCAAAGAGTGGAATCGTGCAAGAGAGGATATGATGGCACCGACACAACCAAGGACTGGCTTCGCGTGCTGCGCTGGAGGCGAGGTCGAAGCTCGATGAACAGCGCCAAGGTACCCCTGGAGCTCACGACACACCATAAAGTCCTTGCCAGGAAGAATCAACCGTCTACTCTTGTCGCGATGTAATTCGGTGTTCCGTCACAGCGAAATGAAGGTCGATGCGCTCGCGGTATGACGGTGGCTCAACTTGGCTTCATGAACTATTGGGCATCTCAACTGCCCCCACGGAACGTTTGGGTTGAATGCAGGGGCCGACCGAGCGTTCCGTCTGGTGAACTGATTAACTCGATTGTACAACAGGATATGCACATAAAAGGAGAACGTCTGCGGAATATAGGCATGGATACCTTCAGTAGACATGGCATTCCGTCACTTGTGTGGCACGTGCGTGCATATGTTTCGGCCATGATCGAGTGTCTGTGTAGCTTGCAAACGCTTAGTCTAAGAGAAAAAGAGAGGGAGAAAAATGCGATTTTGTCTTGCACTAGAGTGAATTTCGACACAGCACTGATCACAGGGATGACAACCCTGGGGGACGTGTTCGTGGCTTGAAAGAAAGATTGGCGGACTCGGGCATTGACTTTTGTTGAGAAGCACGACGACCACTAGACTATTTGTCAGCAGCTGACATCGTGCTTTGCAACAGATTTTACTCACATCATTGCGGATGAGAGATGTGGCAAACCTTTCCTGGCGGATATTTTCGACGGAATAGGATGAGCATCACAAATCACATCAAATCACATCAGTTTTCCATCCACAGGATTCACATCCCCTTTTTGTCTGGACCAAACTGTTTTCGACGAAAAAAATGTATCCAAAACGGTTTGTGTCCCGTTTATCCGTGTTGAGCATCCGCATTCAGCAGGTTGTCTCCAAATGGCGACCCTTGATCACTGCATACCGCGTCGAGGTACATTATTCATGGAGTCCACGACAGATTTCATTCGTAGAATTTCACTGTTGGAGGACGTTAGGTATGAATTTCGAGCGAAATAATGAAATCAGAGGTGCGCGGTTTTGACCATGCATCATGGGCGCTCCGACGCAAGGATGTTGCCCTGTCGCTCGTGTATGCCAAAATTCGCCCAGAACGCTGACGCGCCCGAACATTTGTTAGACAGGTCGCGGAGGCTAGTCCTTATGACGGATTGTGGGTTAGTGGGGCATAGTTGTTGATGCCTTCCATCCCCGTGCGGCGTCGTCCTCCAACTGGCCTGGTCAGAATCTCTCGGGAAAAGCGCTCGTTGCGACGCGCACGCTTCTGCGTGTTCGCCCGGTCGAAGCCGACGAGCCGTTGCGCCCTGAACACTCGGGGGCTACCTGCTCTCGTGCGTCCCACTATCCACGAAATATTGCCCGCGGGTGATGAATTTCCAGCCGATGATTATTCCTCCGAGGGCGCACGTGGCCCGGTGGACGTGCTAGCGAACACATTCGTGGACCATCCGTAGCAGATGTCGGACATTGCCTTTGACGCTTTTTGCGAAGCTGCCGCTTCCCCACCGCCGCTGTTGAAGGAACACGGCTCAGATTTGGTGAGTAGTGACGTTTTATTGGATTGCGATACCTCTACGACGCGAGTCCGTGTAACCCCTTTGGACTCGGGCTCACGGTCGTCTTTCATTAGCGATGTTCTGCTTGAAGCCGTGGAGGCATCACGCCCCACTGCAGCCGTAGACAGCACATACCTCATACCCGTGGTGCTGCATGTATGTACGCGCGTCGTGCGCATTAGAGTGATGTGTAGCGTGTGAATGCCATGAGACAGAGGGAAGATGCGTTTCCTGTTTCTCTGGAGTGAAGTTCGGCCGCTACAACAGTATTCCTCAGCGAATGAAGTAGGCTCCCCGGTCGGCGAAGGTCCACGTCGGATTGTAACCATTTTAAGCTATCGGCCTCGGCAAGGCACGGGGTAGACTCCCGTGACAGATTGTTTCGATGGATGACGTCACAAGCTACCGCAGTTGTCATTCTAGAGGGTTCACATGCGCAGTGACTTTGGTAAAATAGTCGCCTGGGCCAAGAGCCCTTGCTAGAAGAATTCACATTTCACAACCACATTCATTGTGTGACCAATGTAGGCGTTCAACATCCCAATTCAACGGTCGTCTTTCACATGCACCGCTCGATCACATCACCTCGCCTCGAGGTCAACATCACGACTGACGTCACTCGGTAGGGTTTTCACTCACCTGATGAACGGCTTGCAAAGCACCCTCTGGCCCTTCCATCTCCTATTCGCTATGCTGTCTTGAATCCTTTCTCCCTCGGGCGGCTTCTTTCCCTTCATTTTCATAGGAGGTTCAGTTGACTTACAGCAGAGACCACACTCGTGCCTTCTGTCTCGATTCACACGAAATATTTGGGTACGTATATAATTCCCACTCATTGTACCTTTTAAAACTCATTTCTTCCTAAATAGTGTGTCCGTCGACTTGCGCGTAGTGGTTCCTTCTCTTTACTCTGATTCTTCGCGATTGTTTCACATCATCATGTACCTTCTGATCTGCACAATCTGCACAGCCTATCCTGTTTCACCTCACTCCTGCCGCCACCACCGCGGCCGCGTCTGCTGCTCCTGTTGCCTCCTGTGCTACGGCTGCCCCTGCAACATCTTTTGCTTTCGCCCGTTCTACCACCTCAGCCACATCCGTCCCACTAGTATGCGTTTGCAGCCTGCAACTGATACCTCACATTTACCGTTTCGTATACACACATCCACTCTTAAACGGAGAACGGGGAGGGCGGTAGCTCCCCGCGTCTGCCGCCCCTTTACCTATTGATCATTTGCTGTGGAACGAACTCCGCGCCGGGGGCGACACACCAGCCATCGTCGCTTCCTGGCGTAGACTACATCATCGTCGTCGAGATCCCGAGTTTTAGTGTTGTGTGCGTGTTTTTTTGTGTTTTATGTTTGTATGTTGTGTGTTTTTGTTTCAATACCGCCCGTCTTTGCAATAATGGATGGCCAGTCGGATCAATTTTCGACGCTGATAGTGCCTCCTCGAGTCATTGGTTCTACATGGTTTGGACTCCGCGTTCTTTTGCAGTGTGGTTGATGTGGCATTATCTGCCTCTCTTCCGTTTTGGCCATGAACGTTCTTTCGGTCTTACCTTTGGTGGTCAGCACATTCGGCCGTCATGTGCCCGTGGTACTTCCCACTGTATTTTGCTGGCGTCATCCTGGACTCTNGCAGTGTGGTTAATGTGGCATTATCTGCCTCTCTTCCGTTTTGGCCATGAACGTTCTTTCGGTCTTACCTTTGGTGGTCAGCACATTCGGCCGTCATGTGCCCGTGGTACTTCCCACTGTATTTTGCTGGCGTCATCCTGGACTCTCTTGTGTGGACACACTCATTCCTCCAGTCGTAATACGCGCTTGCGCGCGTAATAGAGTGGTGTGTGGCGTTGATATTGATTTCTCTTGTTTTTTTTTTGTTAAACCTGGTGCTTTGCAGCACATCTTGCCTAGCTATATCCCTCCATGGGTATAACCTTATCCTCCGCGTCGTCATCGGAATCCCCTTTTTGTCTCAATGGTGGTGTGGGGGGTCGAGTCGGGATTTTCCTACAGCTCCCTTTTCTTTTGGATACATTTGTGAAGAGTCATATCTTTCGATTCATGATCCTAAATCATCAGCTTTTAGTAGCTTTAGGATTTGAGTATAGAATCTGTATAGATGATCTTCAGGGTGGGCTAGTGTTAAGGAGTGTTGCTGTACGGCACAGATAGAGTACACTGTCGGTGTAGATCATGATGGGGGACGTCAGTAGGTATATCCTCATAGGACGTACCCCATCGGGATTTAGCTATCTGCGTGCCCCCTAGGACGTACCCCATCGGGATTTAGCTGTCTGCGTGTCCCCTAGGTTGAGGGCAGATCGCCCTCAACCTCAGACCCTTGCTGATCGTCTCTCAGCAATAACAAGCAACCTTCCCATCTCAACGTGGTCGTGGACAAGCGTGTCAACGACAGAACCTACCTTCATATATCTCTAGGAGCAAGCTACCGCCCACGGCTTATACTCCTTTAAACAAATCACTAAAAGAGTTTTGCAAATACAACACGAACAACCAAGCAACAAAAAACAACAAAAAAACTGCGGATGTATCATCGTGCGCAATGCGAAGAGGCGGCCCCGCAAACGTGGCGACCCCTCCACTACAGACACCCCCGTTTGGCCCCCGACGATTGATTCTGTTTTACCTCTCGCACAGCAAGCGAGGGGGCCCCGCACAATCCCAAGCGGTCGTGGCCCACCTGCACTCCATTGTTGCCATCCTTTGTGGAGTTGCTGCCGCCGCCGCCGCTGCTGCTTCTGCTGCTGCTGCACACTGCCGGTGCCTCAGCTCACGGGAGACACAGTGCGGCACCGCAAGTGCGGCAAGAAACCCGAGACATCGCACGAAAAAACGCGAACAAAAAAGAAAAAAGGAACGAAGGAACGAAGGAAGGTCATGCCTACATACGACCGAACCAATCGCAAAAAGCGACCAACGTGCCGGGCAACAAAAAATAGTGCTCCCCAATAACCGGTGCGGCTTTTTCCGCTCGTCCTGCAACGACAAGTTGGCAAGCGGAATGCCTGCCACCAACGACAGCTCACAGCGCGCTACCCCTTCACGATCACTGCACAACGTCCGGTTCGCTGCCACTGGCCGTCGTCTCTGGGCACACCAAATGGTTGCCTCCGCAGTCGGTGTTTTAGTCCAGAATCGTGTTTCTTCTCGCGCATTCTCCCTCGGACTGTTTCTTGCGTGTATATATCACCACATACAATGGAGGTAGACACGTGTTGTGCAGTGCTGGCTGCTCAGTACATGCCTCCCCCCCCCCCCCCCCCCCCCCCCCCCCCCCCCCCCCCCCCCCCCCCCCCCCCCCCCCCCCCCCCCCCCCCCCCCCCCCCCCCCCCCCCCCCCCCC